AGGAGGAGTCTTCTCGTTTATCATTAATATTCCACGAAAAAGCCAGAAATTTTACATAGGTGCACTTTCCCCTTTCCAGATTCCTTTCCTCATTTGCACTCATAATTCCATCACTTTTCCTCCCACACGCCATTTACCAGACTTTAGTGCAAAAGAACTATTTTCCAATTCCATGAGGCATGATGTTCACACACCGGTCAAAAGTAAGTCATATGCACTTGAATTAAGGGGTATACTTAGTAAAAAGTAAGTATCAATTTGTACTATAAAAAAATTAATAATTTATTAATTTAAATAAAAAAAATTTAATTTTTTTAATTAAAATCTTAAATTTAAATTTTATAAATAAAGAAACAGATACGAGAAGAATTTTTTTTTAATGAAATTCGATACAATTTAATTTTAGATTAATCGAAATATAAATATATAATGTAGTTAGTAAAATCTTTCCTTTAAAATTATATTATTAATTTGATAAAATCTTATAAAAATTAAAATATCATAATTATTTTTAAGATAAATATAAAAATATTTTAAAATTTTAATAATATTTTATTAAAATAATATAATTTAAAACTAATTTTACCTAATTTTTTATATCTAATGGATGAACATTAGTCTCTTCTTTTGTTTTTATTATAACTATTTTCTTCCATCTGTTTGAAGGTTTGAACAAGATATCATTAGTCAACTTTACTTTTTTTTCTTGTCGATGTTAAGTTTAATCTTTTTCATAAATCTATATTTTCTCCTCCTCCACTCCTTTGCTTTTATTCCGTTCCACAGTCATTCCCCTGTCTCCTTCTACATTTCCTCTCTTGGCCATGAAATCCAATCAATGGATGTTCATTACCATCACTGTAGTCTTTGCAACTTTCATGCAGATATGGGTGGTGGTCGAATCCCTTTCCCAGGCTGACAAAATTGTCGCCTTGCCGGGGCAACCGAAAGTCAGTTTCGGGCAGTTCTCTGGCTACATCTTCGTCGACGACCAGAAGCAGAGAGCTCTGTTTTACTACTTTGTTGAAGCAGAAACTGACCCTTCTTCAAAACCACTTGTCCTTTGGCTAAACGGAGGTGAAGTCATGTTACTTAAATTCTTTACATTCTTCCCCTTTTGTTCTAATAGTAGAAGTTTCCCCTAGCAAAAATTTCGTATTCAAGATCTTTAATTTGCTAGTTTTGGTGTTGAAGGACCTGGATGTTCATCTTTTGGAGCTGGAGCTTTTGTTGAGCATGGTCCCTTTAAGACAAATGGAGAGACTCTAGTTAGCAATGACTTCAGCTGGAACAAAGGTACATCGAAGGGTTATCTCGAGTTGTATAACTCTCGTCCAGAGAATGCAAAACTTCAATAATTAATGAATTCATTTCTTCTCTGTTTTCAGCGGCTAATATGTTGTATCTGGAGTCACCAGCAGGAGTTGGCTTCTCGTATTCAACTAACAAATCATTTTATCCCGATTTGGGTGACAAAATCACAGGTTTTTTTTTTTTTTGCCTTTCAACCCTTTTGATTTTTCTGTGAAATATATTCAATTTTGCCTAAACCTGAAACTGCAACCTTGTCTCTTTCAGCACGAGATAATCTGGTCTTCCTACAGCGCTGGTTCCTCGAGTTCCCCGAGTACAAGAATAGAGATTTTTATATAACCGGCGAGAGCTATGCCGGGCACTACGTCCCTCAGCTCGCACAATTATTTATTCAGACTGACATGAAACCGAATCTGAAAGGAATTGCAGTAAGTACTTAACATATATACACAGAACATAGGACACATTCTCTTCTAGCTACATGTAACTAAACAATGAAGAGTTGATGCAGATTGGGAATCCTCTTATTGAATTCACTACGGATATGAACTCGGTGGACGACTTTTACTGGTCGCACGGGCTGATTTCGGATTCTGCTTATGAACTTGTCAAGTCATTATGTAACAATTCCCAGCTAATGAGGGAAGCCCTCGAAGGCTTCCTGTCCCCTGCTTGTGCTGACGTTTACCTCACTATCTTGGAAGAACTCAGCCATTCTATTGACAAATATGATGTTCTTGCCGATGTCTGTCTGTCATCCGCCAATGGATCACAAACCTCGTTGCTCAGTCACCCCGCTTGGTCCAGACTCCGACATGTTACTTCTCTCCAATCACAACAAACTGTCCTGAATCAGCAGGTAAGGTCAAGATTAAAGTCTAGGTTGGTTTAAATGATGGGTAACAGTTGTTGTTCTCTCTATTCAAACTGTTTGAATTATATATATCAATCATTATCAATCACTGGATACCAACTCTTTGTTATTCTTAAGAGCTAATCTAAACAGAGTCTAAAGACTCTAAACTGAAACAATACATAGATGTTTTTTTCAAAGTATGTTTGGTGATCCTTGTAAATATTTTAATTTTTTGATATTATTTATATTTTTTTTATTTTTTTAACCTTAAAAAATCTTAAACAATACTTAAACTTTTTATAAATTTTTTTAGTCACTTCTTATTCATTTTTTATTATTTTTAAAAACAATTTTTAAAATTTTTTTTAATAAAAATTTAAACTTATAACTTATAAATAGTACTAAAAAAAAAAAAAAGACTTCAGTAAACGCCACCAAAGATGCCCTAATTCTTGCATTGGATTCATCTGGTTAATTTCAGCAAGTGAGTGGAGAGAAAGCTGATGTTTGCGCAGAAGACAAGACAACCAAGTACTTGAACAGGAAAGATGTGCAAGTTGCTTTGCATGCCAAGCTTGTCAGGGTTACTACCTGGAGTTTATGCAATAAGTAAATATAATGCAATAAGTAAATATAATTATTCCCCCCACCCCAGTAATCTTATATATAAATTTTAGAAATCTTCCAAAAGTATTTAGTTTAATTAACTGCTTTAATTAATGGAATTATTCTTGATTTAATCTTTTATGTTTAGGTTTGTGCAATATAGGCGGAACATCCAGGATCCAACAATTCAAATTCTTGCCTCACTAGTCAAGTCTGGAATTCGTGTCTTGGTTTACAGGTAATGTTAACACTAATTAAGTTCTTGCAACATTTAATGTTGAGCTAAATTCAATGATCATGTGTGATAAATGAATGAACGAATTTGCAGTGGAGATCAGGATTCTGTTATCCCATTTACCGGGACTAGGACTTTGATTTATAAACTAGCCAAGGAGTTTGGACTCAAAACAACTGTGCCTTACAGGGCTTGGTTTGAAAGCAAACAGGTACATAAGATCACTAATGATTTTTCTGTTGATTTAATTGCGGGGTTATACAATAAAAGATGGGCATATTTTACTCAATTCTTGGATCAAACATCTCAAACTTAGGAAGTTTTTGGTCCTGCAGGTTGGGGGGTGGACACAGGTCTATGGGGATATATTGTCGTATGCAATCATCAGAGGAGCTTCACACACAGCTCCAGCTACGCAACCAGAGAGGTCCTTGACACTCTTTAAGGCCTTTTTAGCTGGGAAGCCGCTGCCAGAAGATTGAACTTATCTTAAATCCAATCAATATCCGACTTTGTTTTTACTCCTTGTATTCTACAAATTAATAAGAGTGGTATGGATATTTTGAGGCATTCTTCCATATTTCTTTCTATGGAAGATAAATAACAAAATGACTTTTCTTTAAGATAGAAGAATAAAGATGTTAAATGAATTAGTTTTAGAACTCGACATAGATGGCTAATTAATAAGAATATTGGAATGAATTGAATCTCAAAAGAAAAAAAAAAAAGGTAACTACTTGGCCAAACAATGATGAGTAGAGAGGGGGGAGGGTAATCATTGCGTTATGCGAGTTACTTTGCGTGCTAATTTGTTTGTGGGTATGTAATATTTCTTTTGTTTAGGGGTGGGCAAAACCGGTTTTGGTTTAAAATTAAAATCGATTTTAAATTAATCAAAAAAATTTGGTTTTAATTTTGTGAACTAAAACCGAATCAAAATTGTTATAAGCTAATCAGTTCGGTAACCGATTTTTATCAATGAAATTGGTTCGGTTTCGGTTTTTATTAAATAAATATTAATTAATTATTTTTCTAATAATAAACTATATTTTATCACATATTTTATCATATTTTATATTTTAATATATTTTATTTATTTTATCCTAATTTTGATTTTATTTTTGGTTTTTGGTTTTTTAAAAACTCAACCGAAACTGAACCAAAATCATTCAGTTAATATAAAAACCAAAATAGTAAAAACCAAAAACCATTTTAATCAAACCAAATTTATTTTTCGGTTTGGTTTTCAAGTAAACCGTCGATTACGGTTTCAAATGCCCAGAGCTACTTTTGTTTATACGTGGATGAAATATGCCTTGTACTTTATTAATTTAATTTCACTTTTAGTTGATAAGAAATAAAAAAGAATAGATATAGAAATATTGGGATCAGTTAGAAGCTATTGTATGCTTAGGTCTTAGACCACACTCAAAGCATTAAAGCAAGAAGGGGCCAAAATGCATGTGAACGCTTTGTTTATTTATTATTTATTATTTATTTTTTTTAACGGTTATAATTTTTTTAAAAATAAATTTATAAGAAGTTGAAATCGAACTGCTATAAAAAAAAATGTATTCTACGTGTGACCTGAGGCCCAAATACTTTTAATGATTATGATTTAAGATAAAGAAAACAAAATATTTACATAATATTATTGTAATTTAAATTTTAACTTTAGCTAAAACATTAGATGTATCAACCAATTGGCTAACAATGCCTTCTATGTGAACACTGCTACGTTTAGAGGGAATGATACTCCGGAGAATGGGCCAATTTTGTCTCTATATTTCTTGTCTCTTCTCAAAAGTCAATTTTTGGGATTGCTTTCAACATCACAGAAGATCATCAGAGAGCATGTCGACATGTTGAAATAAGAATGCAATGCACGCATGCATTATGTTTTCTCTTAGGATGCTTAGTTGGGACAGAAGAATCCAATATGAAAGTTTGAAACTTCAAACATTGAAATGGATAGTAAGTAATGGGTTTCTTGGAGCACTAGCTCATGTTTAACTAGAAGGATTCACAAGAATTATATATTAGTAGCTTCGCCATGAATCTAAACTTAGTAAGGCCTTGGATTTTAGAATTTATGTATTAGTGTTTTTGTGTCAAGATTCAATTGGCCTAGTCGGTAACATTACCCATTTGAAATCTTAACCTTGATTGAGGATCGATATGGTATTTTAAAGCAGTGTAATCAATATCTAACGTTAGGCATTATCATTATCAAAGCGCATGTGAACACACACTACACTATTTTAATACGGATTATGTGGGGGTCTTTTTAGGAAGAATATACCCCACTTTTCTCTTATTTATCCAAAAAGAAAAGTTGTGTGTAGCCCCCAGTCGACGCTCCAAAGTAGAGCATCATTGGACGTTTTATTTTCAAGTACCAAAAGCTGCTCTGAGAGCATCAACGAGAGAAAGAGAGGGAGAGAGTTGAAGAGAGTGTAATGCACAAATTAAACCTAACAAATTTCTGACTATCAAAAAAGTATGTGTAAAAAAAATTAAAAATGATTCATTAATGATATTTATTGACAACAATTATATAATATTAAACAAATTGGATGTAAATCCATTCTAGCATCTTACACAATAAAAGGAGCTAATAGAAATTTCTATCATGTTATGTTTTCAACAAATGTGTAACAAACATTGGCAATAATTATTTTCAAAAAGAAAAAAAACCATGAAATAAACTAGTGCCTTTTTCCTCGTGACTTATCCGTTTTAGGCTGCCAGGCTAGTACTGGTGGAGGCAAGGGGGACCTACGGGGGCATGGACCCCCTAGTTTGGTCCTTATGTTTTACTTTTAATTTTTTATTCTCAGTTATTTCATATTATTTTCTAGTACTTGTATTATTGAAGATTACTTTTGGTGATAATGAGAAAGTCTAGGAAAATCAAGTTAATATGAGACATGAAAAAAAAAATAGAATTAATTGAATAAAAATGGTACATTATCAATTTTTTATAAAGTATTTGCTTATTAATATCTTTTTACTTCTTCCTTTTTTTCATAATATATATTCTTTTACTTAATATATACTCATTTTTATCCTTTAACTAATAATACTTATACTAAATTATTTGTCACTATTAATTTTTCATTAAAAACTAACAAATCTTATTTACTAAAATATTTTTTTTCTATTGCACTTAAACTTTCAAATTTAGTGACAATAAATCACGTTTAAAAGTGCATCCCCTTTTTTCAGATAACGGTTTGAATCTGACCCCTTACAAATACATTAAAAATATATATATATATTTTTCCTTCTCTAGCTCCGCCATTGCTGCTAGTTGCCATATTAAATAGCCTAGTAATTCCTAATTTTTCTTCCTTCAAACAATTTTTATCCTCATTCAACTTTAAACTTTAAAGTATATACATATGTTCACCAGAAATCGAACTTCTATGAAGATAAGATATAACTACCAGAAAAATTTTTATTGAAAAAGTTATTAAATAAAGTTTTATATGTGAAATTGTTGATAAGTACTATATAAAAAGTTAATAAATTTTGTTAGAATTTTATTAACTTGTTAATTTTTTTTGTATTTAATGAGAAATTAATATAGAAAAAATTAATAAAAAAATTGTTAAATGAATTTTATATAGAAAAGTTATAGAAAAACTTTTAATGTTGAGAAAATCTTGAAGGCAATCTTAATTGTTAAGAAATATACATAGAACACACAGACAAGAAATTAGAAGCAATTTACCTTGGAGGCAATCCTAGGAAGCCAAATCGGCTTATTTTAATAAATTGTTTATTAATTATTGAACTTCTTTTATTTTAGTTTAGAATTTTTATTTTCTTTTAAAATCATTTATTAACTTTCAAATTTGTTTTAATTTTGTCTAGTCTAACATGACTCCGTTAATTGAACAAACAAAATTTTATGTTTTTTATCGTGTGATACCACATACATTGCAATGTAAACTGTCACGTGACCTGAAAATGAGAGTAAAATTTTTTGGTTTTTTTTTAAGGCTAAATCTTAATATCAAAATTTGCTTTATATAGTGAAAATTTTTGAAACAAATTTGCTTTCCTTTTCAGGCCACGTGGTAACTTATGTGGCACCACATAATCAAAGATGTGGAATTTCGCTACCAAAACTAATGCAGTTGAAATAATTTTAAAATTTAATAGATGATTTAAAAAAAAAAAAGATTCTAGATTAAAACGAAGAGAGATCAATAGTTAATAAACCATTTATTAAATTAAGCCAAGCGAAATTCAAGCATTTATCTTTTATGGGTATTCCCTCTCTTTTTCCCCTTCCCTTTTCCTAGAGAAATGGTGCTACATATGGTTCTGAAGTGGAAGCGAATTAATCCCAGAAAAAGCAGACATATTTTAAACCCCAAACCCTTCCGATTTAGAACCGTTGCCTCATTTTCACTTTGTTTCGGCCAATTCCCTCTTTTTTCTTCCCTTCCACGAAGGAAATGGTTCTGAAATTTGAAATTTAAGGGTTTAAGGCAGGGTTTGGATCAATAGGCTTGGGCTTGTGAGAGTATTTAACAATATCTGATTCTTTCAAGCCCAAGTGTTTTGGGTTTTGGACCTTAAACTCGCTCAGCCCATCGCCAATCTCAACTCACTACTTAGTGGATGGCACCGTTACCCGGACCGTTGACCTGATCACATAAAATAATAATAATAAAAAATAAATAAATAAACAAATAAACCCAAAGTTTGGGTACACTTTTTAAATTTACTCAGCCAGGACAATTACAAATTTTTTTATATAATAATTTGGGATTGGAGAAAATTAAAGTAAAATGTTAATACTAATAGTGAAAAGATTATAATATTTTTAATAAATTAATAAAAAATTTATTAAGATATTTAAATAATTATAGAAAAATTCTGACATTTTAAAGTGTTAGAACATTTTAATTATTATTATTCTCTGATACTTTATGCATTTTGATGTAGTATTAAAAAGTAAATATATGTCACTTTACATGTAACTTAAGGAAAAAAATTATAAATTATATTATATGAATGATGGTAGAAAAAATTATACATTTACCATTTTTTGTTTTTTAACTTAAGGTTGGCGGATGATAGTCGAACAAAAATAAAATATTATACAACCTTTATGTAGTCCAAAAATCATAAAGTATGTATGACTTGATGCTCTAATATTTATTCTCTAAAAAAGAGTGGGGAAAAACATCATGATTTCTTCTAAGAAAGTGGTTATTCTAAGATTATACATTAAAAAAAAGGAAAAAGAAAAAAGAAGAAAGAAAAAGAAAAAGAAGAAGAAGAAAGTGGCCACTACATTCTTTACATTCACCTCCCACCTTTTTTTTGTTCCACTTAAGCTCCTAATTTCTCAGTCGATACCATTAATTTCCTCCACCACTTCTCATATGCCCACTTTCAAATGTTTCATCTAAACAGGATTGATCCAATTTTCACATGCTAAACAGGCTGTATCAAATTTAAGGATCTCATACTTGATTTTTGTGTTGACTAACATCACTAAATTCCCCCTTTTCTGCTAGATAAGACTACATTATAATATTCTTCAATAGGAAAACTTCCACTGCTGAAATTTGTTTGTTGAAATTTCATATCAAATAATTATAGAGGAAAATGTAGATTAATCGGACAAGCAAATCAATTGAGGAATTTTTTTTATTTTATACTTTTTAAGGTATATGTTAAGGTATAATTAATATATTTTTTATATTAATTTGTGTTGAAAATAATAAAATTAGGCATTAATTTTATCAATAATATTATATTAATCATTTTAATTTGTCAATTAATTAAATAAAAGTTAGTTCTTATTTTCCAATTCAATTAATCTCAAAAAGATGATCTTAATTTGTTTCCAAATTAGGAAAACCCATCAATTAATGCACTAAGAGGGGGGGGGTAGAAAACATATATTTTTTCTTTTGAAAAGTAAATGTAATTAAACAAAGACATGTTGGAGCAAACTCTTTACTTCTACTGTGCCCTATTTTCTACAGTTGGTTTAGGCAGTACATATCTTGGACTTGGAGGTCTACTAATCGAGGTAAAGAAGATAGAAGAACAGATTTATATACCGGCTGCATTTATCTCTGAAAAAATGCATTGGCTGCATTTTGTTTCTACATAAATGACTTGTTTTCATACCCTGATTCAGAATATTACCCAATGATAACATGAGGAAAAAAACCTCATACATAAAGTCATGCCATTAACCATGCAACTAGATTGGAATCATTTAAGGCTCTAATGTGAAAATTTTAAATTAACTAGTCTATCTTCAAAATATGAAAATGGTAAAAACTGCTTCTTCTTCTTCTTTTTTTTTTTTTAATAGGATTACATTTTTTGGGGAAGGTGGAATAGGGATAAGGGAAAAAGAATCTATAGGGCTCTATACTGTAATCTACGGAAATAATTCTACTAATCCATGAGAAGATAAAAACTGTTCTACAGATAAAAGTAACAATTTATATATTAATTAGAAAATTTTTCATACAATTGTTATGTGAAATGTCACAATATAATCAATCAATAACAATTTAATACGTAATTAATATTAAGGTTGCTTGTCCATTCCCAAGGGGCCAAGGTAAGTGCGGAAGGGGTCTACTAATACTTACAAATCGTTGTATAGCTAATCAGATTAAGAAAAGCAAGAAAGCTTTTATTAGGGTATATCAATGCAAATCCACACAGGTTTTGAAGGAAAAAAATTTCCAGGACTGCCCTTTTGGCCTTCAACATGGGGAAAGGTAATCAGCCTTTAGGTAACTTTTACACAAGTAGTAAAGAACATAAAGGACATTCTCACACATTAGCTAGAAAAATGATTTCCTTTAACAAATCAAAGAAAAGTCCAAGAAAATGATTAATCTCACATGACCCAAGATTGATAAAGACTCTCAACAAAGGGACATTTGAGGAGTTTCCCACTTCACAATTTTTCATCCCCTCATGAAATCCAAACTCCCACTTCTCTTTTTTCCAAGCATAAAAAAAGGAAGCTCTGAACTCTGAAATCAGTACTGGAATAAGTTCCCAATAACCACTCACTTCTCCTTCACGACATTTTTTTAAAAAAAATCAGCATCAAACCCTATGCATTTTGACTCTCACCACACATTGACCTGCCTTCCTTCTTCAAACCCCAAAGCTTCTAAACCAAACAAAAACCAAAACTTTTCTTTATAAAACTATCTCTCAATTCTCTCAGCAAAACCCATCTTCAGTTTTCCCCCTTTTTCCCATTTCCAGATGCCATGAAAAGCACTTGGGTTCAGGGCAAGAAACAGGGGAGCCTCAGAAGCAGAGTGCTAGCTTTCTTTTCTCTGCTTCTGCTGATCTTGCTGTTGGATACCATCCCTTGTTATGCAGCAGTTTTGTATGGAAAATCAAGCAGGCACAAAGCTGGACCAGCTTCTGGGATGAGTGCTTTTAAACCCCAAGGTGGGTTCAAAGGGAAAAACAATGCAGCTAAAGATGGTGATGGAATTTTTGGTGGAGACAAGAGGAAAGTCTATACAGGTCCAAATCCTCTGCATAACAGATAAGTTTCTTAGCGGAGGAAAACAAAAGTTAATTTAAAGTTTCAAGCTTAATGTATTTTATTTCCTTTATAAAAGAGATTTTTTAATTTTGATGCTTGAGGTTTATTAGGTAATGTTGAGACACAGTTGTATATGAAAGATTTTGGTAAATAGGAAGAGAGTATTTTTGAGACATTTCCTCATGGAAGAACATTAATATTGCCATTAATGGGGTTGTTGTTGTTATTAATATTAGTCTGCTTTTGCTCCAGAAGGTTGGTGGTTTGCTGGTTTTTTTTCCCCAAGTTTCTGAATATATCTGGGGAAGAAAAAAGAGCAGTGTGTTCCATGTGGGCATTGGGCAATTTTCTCTTTTTCTAACACTAAAAAAATTCCTTTGTTCTCAATTTGATTTAATTAGGTTTCCCAAACTTAATTACCTGCATAATTATTGTAAAAAACATGTAGACTGTACATTCATGATTATGGTTTATGATTAACCTCTTTTTTTTCATTAATCATATGATAATGTAACTTTTGCATGCATGTAGCCATGTATATCTTAAATGAAAATAGTTTGCTAATAAGGTATGTGATATCAAAGTAGATGTAAATTGATTCATGCGTCTGATGGAATAAAAAGAACAAATAAAACTATTTCTATGTCATATTGGGAAGATTTATTATCAACAAACTTTTTAAGTCACTATTTTTGCATCTTAATATCTCCTCATTGGTCAAGAGATTAAACGCAACGTCCAGAAAACTACTATATATCTCCCGGTGATTACTAGAAAATGTTAAGAAATATAGTTTTCTGTTGTACATTTCGCTTTGTAGTTTGTACTCGATTACAAACCAGAAATTATTAGATTTTATATGGAGAATATCCTGATATTAAGGTACCAATTTTATTTAGTAGTTTAATTTATGCAGTTTAATATAATATAAACTACAAATTTTATTTTTTTTTAAAATACTATCACTTGATTATTATTTCCTCTGAAAATAAGATTTGAAGATTTTAGAATAATTCTGTTAGTATTTGATATTTCTTTTAGCTGTGTGAGAGCCATATATATGTTCGTCTTAAATTTCTATGAGGTGAATGATTACGAGGGAGGTCCCGCAGTATGTTTGGTACCCATTTTCCATTTTGCCAGCCCAAAGTCCACCATATTTGCTTCCTCCTCTCTCTGGTAGAACCTACTGTTTTCATACAATCTTTCCCCTCTTTCCACTAGGGGAATGATGGGAAAATTTTACTTTAAATTTATAAATTGCCCAAAAATTTTGCATCATTCCATACTGTCTACATGCCTATTTTAAAAACGTTTTCATCAATTATTCCGGCCAAAAAACAGTTGTTAGTTATGCAATTATCTTGTTCTCTTTTTTTTTTTTAATGAAAAATGAGTGTCAATTTCAAAATAATATGTTAAATTTTAAAAAAATTTATAATTAACTCATTTCACTTAATAGTGTTTGTAATTTGATATCTGTTGTTGAATATCAAGCAATATTTCTCTCCATTTATCATTTTCTGCCTATTATAGCATCATTCTGTTTTGGTTTTATATTCATTCATAATGATTTTTATAATCTTTAAATTAGCTCTCTCTTTTCTTTTTTTTTTTCTTTTTTTCTTTTTTTGGTACAATTTCCCCATATTACTCAAACAACAAGTAGCTTAATCTCTATCTAAAATCTGATATAATAAAAATCCAGCATGTTAATCGCTGAACGATCTAAGTTGGAAAAAGAAATGTTAGATTTTTAGATATCGTGTGGAGTCCAATGAATGAAGATTAAAAAAACATAACAGTTATATAATTCTTGCAAATACCAAAATGCATATTACAAATTAATTTCTTCAATCTCATGTTGTAGTGTGTATGCATGTACTTTACATAGCAAAATATGAAACTGAAAAATCAAAAAACCAAAACCAAACCAAATAAGAGAAATATAAGTGTTTCTGGATAAGCTGATTTTCCAGGCTAAACAGGAGTAGCAACTATTGAGCACATTTGAAGAAAAAAAGCAAATGAAAAAAACAATTACAAACCATTCCTTTGACCAATAGTGAAACGAAGAAGAAGATTTGAAGTGAAAATGATGTTTTTGTATGTTAGAGTAAGGGGATCATCACAAGGTACATTGCATTTGTCTTGTTGTCCTTTCTCATTTATTTAGATTCATTTCCAATGTATGAAAAACACAGGACTTGCGGTAGAAAGGATCCGATTATAAATGGAAAACTAGGAGATAAATTAAGTTTTTAAATTGTCTCAACTAGTAAAAAAATTAAGATTTAAATTAGTGTTCATACATTTTAACCTTGACATAAGAGTTAAAAAATAGAAATGGTTATTTCTTATTATATAGGATGTACCATAAAATATTTGTTGAATATTTTAAAATTTCATGTCTTAATCCAAAAATAATCATTTCAACACACCTGACAATAGAGAGTGCAAATTCAATCCACTTGTAAGGCAACCAAAACACCATGAGATATCAAAAATGAGAAAGACTGCTTACTTGGAGAGATGCTAAAATATTAGAAAGGGCT